ATTAATAAAAAATAAATATATATTTCGTTAAACGTAAGTTTTCTAATTAAAATTACTAGCGATTACTTTCGGTAGTATTTCTTCACTGTTTTGTACATATCTATATATATATATATATATAATAAAAAAGTTATTTAATATCATATTTTTGAATGATAATTAAAAAAGTAAGCAGAATTTATATTATGTTTAAGAAGTTTTTTCCGTCTTTGTCTCATTCATTGAAAATCAGTAAGTGTTGAATTAGGTGACATCTATTGGGTTTTTAATTAATTAAACATCTCTATACAATTAAGTAAAACGAAAAAAAAAGTTGAACTATATAGATTCATAATTTTTCATTTATTTTGTGCAAAAATTTTTTATCAGTTTTGTTAAACTGCATTGGTGGCGCTGTATGTGGTAAACTATACTGGTGCCATAAAGTATGAGAGAGGAGAAAAATGGTAGATTAATTTAAATATTTTCTCTTTTAGGGTTTTACGAAAGAATTCAGCACATTAACGTCCTTAATCACCCATCATTCCGTTATGCCAGAGCTCTTACCTTGTCCTCTCTCTCTTTCTCGATACAACCCAACATTTCGGAAACAAGACTCTTCGGAAGACTTGGTGGACGTAGATGAAGATCCAGACTATAACCTTTTGTCAGACTTTCGTAAAATGATGGCTGACTTAAACGTCTGATGCAGGCCTAAGTCTAGGCCTAGTTCCACTAGGTGTGTCTGAGCATTTGTTTGGTGGTGTTTTCAAAATGACTTGACTACCGTATCTGCATTACGTTTACTACGGTTTTCTTGGTTGTTACAGCGAGACGATAAGTGAGGGTTAACAAGTTGTCATTGTGATCATACTTTAACAGAATTTTTTAGTTGTCGTAGTTACGAAATGTGCTTCATTGGACACAAAATGAAACTTATGAACTATTCTTAGATTTAAAAACAAAACTCTTCAGTCTTATTCTGGACTTGTAATTTATTTTTTGTTACAGATTGGATAGTCCAAAATTTAGCAGAGTGCTAGGTGATTTACATTTTAGAAGCTTCTTGGGGAAAAAATATAACTTACTGATAATTTAGGCTTATCTCTATATTGTGAAATGCCTTCGAATTTGATTTGTTTTCCCAACAACTAATTAACATAATTTTCTACTGAAGAAGAACGTCCTGTTCACCATGATATATTAACTTAGTATGATATAATCTCCCTACCAGACGTTCTGCCATTCAAGGTAATTGGGGATAGTGGAGTGTGACTCGAGATACTTCGACAGTGTATACACGTGAGAAGTGAACTTTTAAATATACGTAAGTTTATTATCAAAACGCCACACCAGTTTTACATTCGCTTCTACTGTCTAATTACAAATATATAGTCATCTACAATATATTTTACATATGTTTCTCATTAACCACATAGTTTACGGATTTAATTATCTTAAAAAGGTTTTTAAAAGCATGGTAGCAAGAAATAGAAATAATACTCATAGCTAAAGTTCTGTGTAAGGTTATTCGTGTTTGAAATACGCTTTATGCGCCCTCTGGATGTAAAATATTGATATAAATACTGGATATATGCAGAGTGATCCAAACATTAGGTGAATTTGATTTGATTTGTATCAACAGCAACAAAATCTCGTTATTGGTCCTTTGTTAGTCTGTGTTACATACTTATGTACTGTTCTCTTATATATTTTTACGTTAGTATGAAACAGATGAAAATTAAGAAGTTGGTATAATAATCTGGAACCAGTGAGTTTTGGACCATCGTGTACATTATTCTCGCCTGAAATCTGATTCAAAATAATATACCAGTTGTGTAAACAACGTAAAATTCAAACAGAAGTAATTCATAAGACGTGATAAAAGAATGAACGAAAAGTAAAACCCAAATTACAAATTTTTCATTTTATTTTAGACTTTTTTTTTTCTCGTTAATTACATAAAGTATTGTTGAATTTTCTATGGATATTTTTTTTTTTGGGGGGGGGAGGGTAGAATGTTACAGTGATTATATCTTAAGTTTAGAACTTTGTAATTTTTAAAAAAACTGTTCATAGTTCTTTATACACAGTGAATGATGTTTTACTTCAATTTAAAAGTAAAAAAAAAATAGTTTTAGTAACTTTATTGGATATAAAATAGAATCTCTTAACTACAACCAGAAAGTATTTAGCGCCATCTATTGACCATATTTATAAACATAAAATGCGGATGTTTGGATTCTTCTTCAGCTTTACTTAGATATTGATGAACTTAATTTTTGTATATATTAAAAATAATAGCACCAAGCCCATAAATAAAGTATTTGTTAAATCGTACACTCGTTGGTAAATAGTAAATTCTATCGCAACTACTTTGTTCACAACCTTTTATTTTATTTTTCTGATAGATTCAAGTCATGTATAATTATCAGCATTGTATTATACTGATCAGTAGTAATGTCTCGGGTTATGAACCGTTATTCTGTAACACAGCATGAATGTTCAGCTCTTTCCTATACTACATCTTATCTCACGGTAGCCATTTCGTATATTAGTATTTACTCAGTATTACTGATCAATGGCCGCACGATCTTGTGATAAGGTAACGTGTAATCACAAGAAACTTCTATAAACTGTATTTTTTTTTCAGTAACACGTTTTTAACTTTAGTTTTATTCAGTGGCGTCGCTAGGCACTGGCGTAGGGGGCCCGTGCCCCAAGTCCTCAGTTGGTATCTTGAAAAATCGCAATAGAAAACTGGCTCTATTCTAGACAATCCTTGACACATCTACATGAACTTAGCATGGGCTATCCATGCTTTATCAGTATCATTGTTTCACCAGCATGGGGTTGTTCCATTTGAAGAAGCTGCTGAAATATTTTTGTTCAATGGCGAAGAGGTGATAAAGTGTACTGGTACTGCCAGAAAGATCGACACATTTTCATGGGTTTCTTTATTGTTTTACACCACTTTTGAGTTCCAGTCTTCACGTGCATCTCACACGAGATGATCACTGAAGATCTCAGTGACATAAAGATAACTGAATGCTATACCTATATTCCAAAGAAATTACAATTCATAAGCAACATTAAACGGCATCTAAGCCTAATGGTCGGTGAAATAAAACATTAATTCATAATTTCAGAACTGTTTGTTCTGTAAGACTCCTAGAACAATAACTCTTAGTAAATAAATTAGCTTAGGAATGCCCTGATCGTTTATAGTTTACTTATTTCCTTAAGAAATAGCTGTACTAATTTCATTATCTAGAATATCTGCTCGGCACTATAGTATAAATAAAGAAAGAAGAAACGAATTTATTTACAGAAAACAATTCTTGGGGTAACCATCGTTCGTTAAGCTAAAAGAACTATACAGAGATAAAATAGTTAAGATATGAATTTCAGTACATCAGATGGAAGAGTGCCTGGCAAAAAAAAAAACCCTAGAAATTTTTCTGGATCTAGTCATGCTACGTCCAAATATAGTTTTCCACACTTTTTGTATCATCTGTTTATCTTATTGCCTGCTCCATAACGACATAACCAATCGATGTAGTTATAATAAGCTTCATTTACACCTGCCATTCTTGTCTTACTTCTAACATCAGGGAAGTTTGTTACAATTTGCAAATGCAATGTTTCTGATTATTCAAACTTTTTATTCGTGAATAAAATTAAGTTTTTTGTTTCTTCAGCGACGATTTTAAAGTCGTTTCTAAGCAATTGTTACTTTTGGGTGGTAATTTTCCCCATTCTGTGCACGTGCAAGTAATGCTGCAGATACTGTGAAGGAGGAGTTATTTATCCGAATATCCACGAGATGGGTCTTTGCAGTAAGTATAGTTTCACACTGCAATAATTTCTTGAGAGTGAATGATTCACACCAAGGAATTCCTGATAATAGATGTTTCATACATTGTATTTTATTGATATCAGTCTGACTGCAAAATGGCATATAAATTGGTTATCAGGTCTGCATGCAGAGTACGAGATGTATTAAGGTAAACTGAGTTAACCTACGAACAACTGGATAGGTCTACTTAATAGCAGAAGATTTGGTCTAGATACTAAATACAAAGTAATGCCAAATCTTTGAATAAACGAATCATAATATTAAATGCAATTATCAGATTGGGCACAAGGTGAGGTACAAAATGTACAATCGTTATTGAAGCATTAAAAATAAACAAAATGTTTGTGTTTGCTTTAGGGTATGACAGACTGTCATTTTTATTGAACACTTTCAAGCTGTTTACTCTTAAAGATCCTATTCCAAACTGTATAGATCCAGCATTCCTTGGTTCAGAAGATAAATCACTTTTATGTAAATCTACTTGCACTACCCACATGATGGGTCATCCTCATCATAACATGGGTGAGACAATAATATCTGGATATCACCTGAATGACCATTTAAGAACTCTGCTATAGAAATCCTTGCACAACGTGCAGTATTGCAACAATATCCTTCAACTAAACGAAGGTAAACCAGGTGTTATCCACTTTAGAATAACAAGGAAGCATAGACAGCTTAACGGCTTTCTTAACCACGTGTTACATGAAACCTGCATTTCGACAGAATAAACACTTTATTATATGCATGATATATCTGTATACCACAAGTTTTTTTCTTGGAGTCCTATCTTTCCATCTAGTTTCTTCAATGGTTGATAGTTTTGTTAAATGGTTACAATCCCAGTTCCCTTTTTTTTTCAAGCATCCATCCACAGATATCACTCATTAAAAATGTTCCACAGCTGTTCAGGACAACAATGATGAAACATTACAATCACAAGTACCTTTTTTTTCAAGCATCCATCCACAGATATCACTCATTAAAAATGTTCCACAGCTGTTCAGGACAACAATGATGAAACATTACAATCACAAGTACCTTTTTTTTCAAGCATCCATCCACAGATATCACTCATTAAAAATGTTCCACAGCTGTTCAGGACAACAATGATGAAACATTACAATCACGAGTACCAGTCATTGCTATGTTTAGGATGATATCTGTAACTGGCTGGTTACTCGTAATCCGTTACACTGACTAGTTCTGTTTGATGCACCACCCAAACTAACAGACACACAATTCTCAACATTTAATCCACGACATTCGGAAATATTCTCAAGCATTACCTTTTATATCGTGACAAATAACGTACTACAGAACATTATAAGCCATATAGAAAACAAGAAGAATGGCAGTTTTGTCTTCAATCATTACACGGATTGTATCGACAATATAGTTACTAGTAGTTCAGGAAGTGGGTGTTGTCTCCCAAGAATCTGTCCAGATGAGTACAAAGAATCGAATCAAAATTTGAAAATGAAAAAAGGATTTCCAGAGAATTCGTTGACTTCATACAGTGTGTAAGTCATTTCTCAATCGTGACCTCTATAGTTGAGCCCACATTTTACTACGAGCTTTGTAACGTTAATAACACGTTTCAGAACATATAATCCGAGAAGAATGTCCTAGCTGCGCTATGCACGAGTTGTTGGAGCTGCAGAATATTATTTAGAAGCGGGTAGATTTCAGCAGAATTCTGGTAAGTTGTCGTGTTCCTGAATCTGTTGGTGTACAAGTTTCCATAACTTGAAAGAAGCTAGTTTTTTCTACACTTGGAACATGTTAAGAAGATCAGAACAATAATAATCATAAAAGATTCCAACTAATACGACAGCCATTTTCAAGGCACGTGATCATGGGATTAAATGGAACATTTGTTGTTAGCTGGCTCGGATAGTTGGGGAATTCTGGATGCCGGAAAGTGGCTATTTCTATGTATATTCTATCAAGGTGGACAACTGTAAATGAAGTCAAACTTGAATTTTAGTTAAACAGGAGAGGGCTACATGAATGTGGTAGATGTATACAAAGTGATAAATTGGTAACACTTGTATATTTTACATCAATCCGTGTAATATGTTTGTTTTGTCCAAAATAATTAAAAGATCAAAATGACAGTAAAATCAGAAGAAAATGGTAAACTTGTAAAAAGAAAATCTCGATAACATTTCATATTTAATTACATGGCTGACATACCTCAGGGCCTGGCATGTCCAGGTGGTTAGGGCGCTCGACTCGCAATATGTGGGTCGCGGGTTCGAATCCCCGTCCCACCAAACATGCTCGCCATTTCAGCCGTGGGGGCGTTATAATGTGACGGTGAATCCCACTATTCGTTGGTAAAAGAGTAGCTCAAGAGTTGGTGGTGGGTGGTGATGACTAGCTGCCTTCCCTCTAGTCTTACACTGCTAAATTAGGTACGGCTAGCGCAGATAGCCCTCATGTAGCTTTGCGTGAAATTAAAAACAAACAAACGCATACCTCAATCCCCCCGTGGGTCAGCGATAAATTTACGGACTTAAAACACTAAAGTACAGGATTTTGTTTCCTGTAGTGGACAGAATGAAGATAGTCTATTGTGTAAAACTGTAATTTAATTTGCACTTTGTGTGTTTTTGTATATACAATACAATACTTGTTAAGTAGTTGAGTGAGATTTTAAAGTGTTTTTATTGATTTTCAGACAACTTTTATTCATTTATACCTGCGCCTCCCCAATGTTTCGTATTTTCAGATGTGTCCGCTAGGTTAAATCTGGTAATAAAATGTTTTTAATTTATCATCAGAAGTCCCAGTGCGATACTCAAACATAGCACATGTTTTTACCAGCTTTAGTGATACACACATTAAAAAAATTGATTATTTAGTTTTCCTGCAGTAATGGCGGAAGCGCGTGGTCCAGAATGTCATTAAGATATCCTCGTTCGAATTGCTTTAATTCTTTGTTCTCTATAAATAGGTAATATTTACTTTATTTGAGGGGATATTGCAGTAACATATAGCATCAGGTTAAAATGATTGGCACTCGAATATCCTTTGATGGCCGAGAAAATGTACGATTTTGTTTTGTATACTGGTTATTATCTGAAACATTCCAATAATTTGTATGGCTTGCGATTTTTGTAGTATACAGCAACATTATATAGATATACGAAAAGCTACTAACAGCATAATGTTTAGAATTTGTCAAAGAACTGTAGCCTCCTCTCATTTCAGTTCACAAAGTCAGCCGATTTCATAGTAAAAGATTAAATAAAAATTGTTCCCAGCAGAATATTGAAGGGACTCGGTGATATTCGACCCCAATTTAATTATTGTGGGGCGTGCCCCTCCGAATCCGACGCCTACGTCTAATATCAGATAAGTGATACTTGTTTTAAAAATAATTCACTTCAATGAACGTTGGTACAAAAACTACTACCGTCACATTTCATTTCCCGTGATTTTAAACTTTCCTGTCATAAAAAAAGTTGTAAATCACGTTATTTAAAGTTTATGGTATTCCAAAGGCAATCGTAAAATCAATTTAATATAAATAATGTATTTAATATGAAATATAATATAATTAAAAATCCCTGTTGTATTAAACTCGCCTTTTATTTTTAAACCAACCTACTTTATTATGAACATCTTATAAATTATTTATATCAAATTATTCAAAATGTTAAAGAATATAAGCCATCAAAGTTTTTGGAATGAAATAATTTGATGACAAAAACGGTTTCAACTCTATGGCGTTTGGATAATTTTATCTGTAATACACACGGAATATATATATATTAATCATTTCAATTTAGTTTTGAAGACGGAACAGCCGAGATGGTCCAATAGGTCCTATGTTGTTTCAAAATATTATATTATGTTAAAACTCGTGTATATGTTGTTTAGAAAAGACGAAGTTTGTAGAGGGATAGTAACGAAAGTAAAAATGGGAAAAATATATTTAATACGTTTAATGTATTTCCCAATTAGTCTGTAAAATACTGTTATTTTTACAGAAACAAATAAATCCACTAGAAAATTTCCTTAGAGCGACATCTGTTACCAATATGAGGTCTTATGTTATTTGTAAGGGTCAATGTAAGGCCTGTGTATAATCCTGAGGTACCGAATTGAGCAAAGTGGTAATAGTAGCTTTTTTCTTGCTCATAATAAAGACTGTTTATTATTCATTGTTATCATTATTGTAAAATTTTTAGCACCCCTTTTGATAGAAGTTTTTACGTAATTACTGTTATATAATTATAAGGAACATAACAGTTGTTTTAACTTTTGTTTTTGTATATTAAAATTTAAATGTATTGTGACATTATGTTAATACTTTAAGTTTAAACATTATTCCCTTTTCTTTATTGAAATTATTTAACTTTCGTATTTGTTCATTCTCTTAAACAGAATGATATGTTTATTTTATTTCGGAGCCACTGTTAAAAATAATGCTAACATAGATATCTAAATGATGCTTCAAGTTCAACAAACTTAAATCATTATATAAAATGTATTACACTGAGTATTTCTAATTAGCTTGCTGTACAGGATTGTATTCGTTATTGATTGTGCTAATTTTAGATTTAATC